CATATGGTTGATTTAAAAATGATCATTGGATGTGTTTCATCAAAGACGTTTGTTTTACACATATGAGTCGTATTGTGTTGTGGGAGTCGGTGTGGGCTCGAGATAGCATGCATGAGTGAGTTTCATCTCATTACTTGGTATGACATCATGAGATTCTATCTTGAATAACATATCCTTATTTGGAAGAAGTTGTTTGTGGCATGTGCACATTACACGCATTTTAGGTGGGGAATAGCTTATGTAGGAGTTTTTCTACTGAGTGTTGGCTCACCCTATATGGGAAACATTTTAGGTGGGAGAGGTACACCGGTGGATGGCTCTAATTTGGCCCCTCATGTTTGAAGAAAGCCGAATGTGGCTTTATTTTGTGTTGATGTAAAATATTTGTGGAAAGAATGTTTTAAGCATGTAATCTTTTAAATTGTAATAGAACTTATATGGACAATTGTTAAACTAACCTTGCATATTTTGATATAAATATGGATGATTAGACCCGGTGTGGCCAATTTTTAATTATAATTGGACCCAGTGTGACCAATATTTAATTATAATTGGATCTGATGTGGTCAAGTTTGACTTATAAATAGACCCTGTGTGGTCATTGTGTTATATGGGGCCTCAGACGGGTCATGTTAATATACATTACACAGGTTGTATTTTGGTAGAGCTCCACGTACAAAGGAGACTCTACCTGAATTTTGTTAAATTAAGGACCTCGGTAAATGGGGCATAACGGTGTGATATCGAGTTACTCGGTATCCACGGGTATTCCGCGGGTTGATGGGTAATCAACGGACCCTTGGATTTTGGGGTGTCACATTTCAAATATACTCCGGCCACAAGAGTTTGAAGTACATCTTCACACAAAAGGATCTGAATGTTCACCAACAACGCTGGGTGGAATATCTAGAGATTATGACTTCACCCTTAGCTATCATCCTGGAAAGGCCAATATGGTTACAAATGCTTTGAGTAGAAAGTCGCGTGGTGAAGTTAGTGGTATGTTGGCAAGTAAATGAAGATGATGGATGCACTTGGAGACTATAATCTATGGGTTGGAGGAGATAGATCTCGATCATTCCTATTTAACCTTGTGGCTCAATCTACCCTCCAACGTAGGGTTGTTGAGTTGCAATACTTGGATCCTTCCTTAGAGTTGATTCGAGCTCAATTGGAAAATGGGGACGTAGTTGAAGGTTGGTCTTTGAGAAATGAAGAATTGAGATATGGGGAAAAACTATGTGTACTAGATGATTCATCCCTAAAGGAGAAAATACTTGGAGAGTGTCATCGCTCTAAGTTTGTTATCCATCCCGGTGGCACAAAAATGTATAGAGACATGAAATGTCAATATTGGTGGAAGGGAATGAAGAAGGATGTGACAAGATTCATAGCACGATGTGCAGTGTGTCAGTAGGTGAATATAGAGCACCAAAATCCTAGAAGATTACTACAGTCCTTACCTATTCCAGAGTGGAAGTGGGATCACATCATCATGGATTTTGTGTCTGGTTTTCCACGGATTTCGTGAGGGCATAATTCTGTATGAGTCATTGTAGATAGACTCACCAAGTCCACTCATTTCTTAATATGAAGACCACTGACACTTTAGAGACCTTGAGCAATCTTTATATTCGTGAGATTGTTAGATTACATAGAGTTTCACTCTCTATTGTGTCGGATCATGATTCTCATTTTGTGGCACAATTTTAGCAAAGTCTACAACGAGCTATGAGGATAGAGTTACATTTTAGCACTGTTTTTCATCCTCAAAAAGATGGTCAATCCGAGAGGGTGATACAACCTTTGGAGGACATGTTACGAGTTTGTGTGTTGGACTTCAAGAAAAGTTGGAGTGATCATCTACCGTTGGTGGAATTTGCATATAACAATAGTTTTCAATCTAGCATTGACATGACACCTTATGAAGCATTATATGGAAGACCTTGTAGATCACCCTTGTGTTGGGAAGAAGTGGGAGAAAATAGTTTTTTTGGTCTGGAGATAGTGAGGGAGACAACTGAAAAAGTAAAATTAATTCAAAAACGATTACGCACAGCTCAAAGCCGACATAAGAGTTATGCGGATAGGAGGAAGAGGCCATTGGAGTTTAAAAAGGGTGACTATGTGTTCTTGAAGGTGTCACCTCGGAAAGAAGTATTTCATTTTGGGAAAAAAGGGAAGCTGGCTCTAAGGTACATTGACCCTTTTGAAATAGTGAAAAGAGTAGGGATGGTGGCATACAAACTTGCTTTACCACCTCAACTTTTGGGAATGTAGGACGTGTTCCATGTTTCCATGCTATGGAAATGTGAGCCCAACACATCACATATTCTTAATTGGCAAGACATTCAAATACAAGAGGACATGAGCTACAATGAAACGCTAATGCAAATTCTTGATAGGAGGGAACAAGTTCTATGCAACAAAGTTATACCTCTTGTGAAGTTGTTATGGCAACACCATGACGTCGAAGAAGCTACTTGGGAATTGGAGACCGATATGCAAGCACAATATCCACATCTTTTTTACCTTGGAGGTTAGTAACAAGTTTTGGAGATGAAACTTATTTTAACAGGGGGTAGATTGTGAGATCTCATGTGTTACGTAAATATAAAATGATATTAACTTGCTAGTATTTTTAAAATAATTAAAATGATGAGAGAAATTTTGAATTGTTGTTAAAGAAATAGTCGCGTAAGTTTGAAGTACGAACGTATTGACTTTTGAGTCAAATTTAATTTTTAGAGGTGTTTAAGGTTGATAAGGATAACTAAGTAAATATATTAATGGTTTTAGGTCAAAATAACATTACTATTGAATTCGGGAGGTTCGAAAAACTTGGAATAGCCGTTTAGCTCATATAGCGGTTCAAAGGGGTAAAATAATAATTTTAGTATTTCATGTATAAATTAATTTTATTTTTGAGATAAATCATAAAACTAAATATTTTTAGGTTAAAATAACATTAAAAATGAATCCGGAATGTCGAAAAACCTTAGAATAGTCATATGAATCAAATTAGAAGGTTTAGTGGCAAAATCGTAATTTTAGAGAAAAAAATGCATTTTTCAGCCCATGAACAATAGAATTCGGGATTGCTGTGTTTAAAACACATATTTCAGCCATTTTTCTTCCATTCTTTCATTCCACTCTCACCTAAAATCTCTTAGAACCCTAGGAGAAGATAAAAAGAAAGGGAAAAGGGAAGAAGAAAGTCTCCAAAGCTTGGGTCTTGCTTGAAAATCCTACAAGCTTGGCTTGAAATTCTTGAGTTCTAGGTGAGGTTTTCCTTTCTCTTACATTTACATTGTGCATCTCATGTAATTTCTTTAGTTAATGCTTACTATGTGGTTGATGTCAAAAATTCTTGTTATAAACCTTGATTTAATGCTGAATATGTCATGGATTTGTAAACCTACATGCATAAAAATGATTTTAGTGTTGTGGGTTTCAAACCCTAGTTTGATTTTGGTGATGGGTATTTGATTAAACTTATGATTTGAGGGTTTTGAAGTGTGTTATAATCTTGTACACAATATATATAACTTATTTTATTGGAATTGGTTGTGTTGCTCTGAAAATACAAATTTTGATATTTGAGTATACTATATGTTTTGATAAAATGTCAAGGTTATGACATAAATTTTTAAAAGGATTTATGGATATAGAAAATAATAATTTTTGAAAAATGTATGCTCAATATTGACAGACAGAGGGTTAGTAAACGATTGAGGCCTATTTAGTGGGTTGCTAAGACGGCTACTAGTCCTAAGGGGGGTTAGTTATGGTAGTGATTTTCGATGATGGTTTATATGGCGTCACAAGTTGTGCCCTACACATTTTCCTTAAAAAGCAAAAAGGGCGATGAGACCCTAGGGTGGAAGACCCAAAAGGTTCTCCGAAGATGGCTCATCCGTGAACCGGTGTGATTGATGATATTGTCCATATGCGAGACATGCATAGTATTTACTATGATGGTTTGCCTTTAATTTATACCTTATATATTTTTTAATGTTGAGGTGTTGAGAGATTTTTAAAAATGTTTTACTTATTATCTTCTACCTGTATTTAATTATAGAAAACTTTCATTATTTATTCGTATGATTTGTAAAATGTTGGTTTTTAAAATTTTGTAAATGTTTGGGAAAAGGAATATCCTACTGAGCATGTGGTTGCTCATCCCTTACTAATATTTTCAGAGACTAGCATGCATCCTGGGGCATAAGTGATGGAATGCTTGTGGGAACTTAGACTAGAAAAAAATCTTTTTTAGAGTTTTTTTTTATATTTACCTTTAGAACTTATGTAGAAATGTTAGCACTCAAGTATTGTGTTTGAAAATATTGTCTCGAGGCATTTATGGTGTGTACACTTGATCATTCCATAGAGAAATTATTATTTTGAATTTTTCCATTAGAGAGGTCTGTATCAAATTAAATTATTTATCTTTTTTTTTATTCAAATTTGAGTAAAAATTTGAATTTTTATTGGAGATGGTATTACATTAATGATAAGCGATTTATATTTCTCTAATAAAAAAAAGAGGGAATAGAACAAAGATCAAAATTTTGTTTTGGTGTATTGTTTTGCTCACCTAGAAGACGAAAACGTTTCGAAAACGTTTTGACTTGTTTCGAAAACAGAATGAAAAAAATAAAAACTTTAAAAATTATTCTTTTAAAACACTAGTCGAAATAAACTAAAATATTTTAAAACATTTGAAAATAATTGTATAAATATATTAAAATATAACATAACATTTCAAAATATTATGAAACACTTCGAACTATAAAATTTTCGAACTATAAAATTTTGATTCTATGATTCATTTTGATTTTTTTAAAAATAGAAATATTTCGATTGTTTCATTGTTTTGAAATCATACTTTGATACTCGAAATAGAATAGGATCCTTCAGAATATTATCTCTGTTTGACTGAAAAAGAAAGAATATATTCTCCATTGTTTGATTAACAAATGCCCTTGTTCAAATTTACGATGGATGCTACTCCATCTTCTCTGCAATCCACTACTTCCATTGAACCAACCCAAACCACCTCTCCAATGGCAGCCACCGACGATTCCAATGGAACGGCCGAAATTCCTCCAAAATCAAAGCCCACCACTGTCCTCATCGATAAAAAGAAGAAAAAGAAGAAGAAACCTATTACAGACATCTCTGACCCAGCACAAGTGTCCTCATCATCAACTTCGTCTTGTTGTACGTCGTCGTATTCACATTCAGTACCAAGAAGCATTCGTGTTTCGAATAGTCGCCGAAACCCTAGAGTCCTAATTGGTTCGGCTCGGCAAAATGAGAACGATGTCGAGGCTCTCGCGCTTCCTCTTGGAATGTCAATCGCCGCTGTTGTCGACCAGGTTCGATCAATTTGTTCTTGTGTTTTTGCGTGTATGTGTTGCATATTTTTTAGAATATTTGCAATGTCTATATGCGTCAGTCGTTTCTATTGAAAATTTTTAATTGGGGGGGGGGTGTAAAAGAGAGGATTTTTAAGAACATATGAATGAAGCTGGTTGTGGAAAATGGTGCTGTGGAGAGTTGGGTGATTTTACAAATGCATTGTTTGTTTCTATGGGTAAATTTTGGGACTTATAGTAAGAGACTTAGGTTGTTTGGGTTTAAAATATGTCATTTGAATAATGATTATCGAAATTCATGAAGAGAAAAGATGGCATAAGTTTTTTTCTTTGCTAATATGGCTTGAGTGATTTACGATTGCATTGTTTGTTTCTACGGGTAAATTCTCAGTTTAGTGAGAGATTTTAAATTTTGGTTTTGAAGTATGTCATATTGAGCAAAGGTTATCTAAATTCTTGAATATTCCAAATGCATTGCTTGTTTTGTGAAATTTTATTTTTCTGTCTTGAGTGACAAAAGTTGGTTTGGGTTTGAACTGTGAACAGAGGCAGAGTGAGGAATTTATTCTTGGCTCCGTGTTGTGTGGATAATTCTTTTGCCCCAATGGAGAAAAGTAAGATGATACATTAATATTCATTTACAAGGAGGCCAATTGCTGAAACGAGAGCCAATTGCATGACCCCCCTTAACCAGAACCTCCAAATAAATCTTCGTCAGCCCTCTACTGAGCTCCTCTTCAGCAAGGATAAACAGACAAGGAGATATTGGATCTCCTTGTCTCAAACCCCTAGAAGTAGGAAAGAAACCTACCCTTTGCCCATTCTCACAAACTGAAACGTATTGACTCTCCAAACAATTAGCAATAATTTTGACAAACAAATCAGAAAAGCCAAAACAAGAGAGAGTCTTCAACAAGAAGTCCCACTCAAGCCTATTATAGGCTTTCATCATGTCCAGCTTCAAAATAATGTTTCCTTCCTCTTCTCTCCTATCTAAATTTTCCACCATCAACTGGGCCAAAGCAATACATTCTCCTCCATTCCTCCCCTTCACAAACCCATGCTGTTCAGCAGAGATCACAAAAGGCAGCACACAAGCAAGTCTAGATGCAAAGAGCTTAGTAAAAATTTTGTATAAAAAATTACATAAGCTTATTGGCCTAAAATCTGAAAAAGAGATTGGATTAGACTTCTTAGGAATTAACACAATCGATGTAGCATTAACTGACCCTGGCACTTTACCTCCTTTCAAAAAGAAGTTTACAGCTCTCACCACATCCAGTTTAATGACATCCCAAGCCACTTGGAAAATTTTTCCAGAAAGGCCATCCACCCCAGGAGCACTTTTCACAGATATAGAAAACACCACACTCTTAATCTCTTCGACAGAAGCCTCTGCTAGCAATTGATTATTCATTTCCTCATCAATCATCATAGGAATCACAGAAAACATTCTCCTGCAAACTATGCTGCTCAGACTTATACAGATTGGAGTAAAAGCTCACAGCCACTTCAGCAATCTCCTTTTCAGAATGAACCCATACACCAGACTCATTTTGGATCCTGCTCACCCTATTTCTCACTGCCTTACCCTTTGCCACAGCATGTTAAAAACTAGAATTCCTCTCCCCTTTTATTGCTCATCTTAAATTTGCCTTCTGCCTCCAGTAAATCTCTTCTAACTTTAATTCCTCATCTAATTCCTTCTGAACCCTCTCCAATGCAAGGACATTACATAAAGAGTTTTCCTGCTCAATAAGCATTTCTGCTTGTTGAACAGCCCCCCTCCTTTCTCCTAATCCTCTTAAAAATATTACCAAAAATTTCTTTATTCCACTTTTTAAGATGTACCTTCAAATATTTCAATTTTAAGAAAACATCTTCAGTTGGATTCTCAGCATAACTCCCACTCCATTTAGAAGCAACTAGGGGCATAAAACCAGGATCCTCAACCTACATATCCTGAAACTTAAAATAAGATATCCTTGGTTGAACAGAATGCTGGACTCTAAGTAATATTGGGCAATGATCAGAGCCCCCTCTGGCCAAATGTACATCCTCAACACTCCCAAATTTCATGCACCAGCTAGGATTAAACAACAATCTATCAATCATTTGCCACATCCTGGTCTGGCCATGGTGATTATTACACCATGTAAAGCTACTCCAAATAAACCCCAAGTCCTGCAAACCAGCACTGTGCACAAACTCCCCAAACTGCTCCATAGCCACATTTGAAGGATATGCACCACCCAGCCTTTCCTTTGAATTCAAAATAGAATTAAAATCACCACCCACCATCCATGCAGAAGAAGCTGGAACATGCAAATCCAAAAGATGCTCCCACAAGGGTCTCCTCAAGACATAATCACAACAGGCATATACCAGTGTGACATAAACTACATCAGACCCCAAGTAAGACACTTTAACAGGTAATGCCTGCTCATGCTGATCCGCTATGTGCACCTGCACTCTGTCATCCCACAACACCCACATATTTCTTTCAGCTAATGGATTAAAAGTATAATGAGGTAATCCTAGGGACATTGCAAATCCATGCAGATTGTTTACCCCCATTTTTGGCTCCTGAATAGAAACCATACAAATATCATTCATTCTGACCAGCTTCTTGAGCCTACTTCTCTGTACAGCTTTCCCAGCTCCCCTCATATTCCATGATAAAAAATTAATCATTGAAAAAGAGAGGAAATGTTACCTTTGGACCTCAGTCTAACAGACGCCTCACTAGAAATCTCATTCAAGGCATTGGAATCAGATTCCTCCTCTTCCAACTCCTCCCTGAAACTCCTGTTTCTTCTTTCGAAATCTGAGCTTCCCTGTCAGACATGTATCCCTTATCTGGGGGATCTGTCCTCCTTTCTAACCCTACATCATCGTCCATAGAGTATTCAATCCTGTCCTTGGAGCATACTGGTGTTCCACATAAAAAGAATCCCCACATGAGGAAGAGAATTGTCTATTCACCCTGCATACTCCTACTTCATCATGCACTCTCCCAATCTTATTCAAAGGAGTCTCAACTATCTTTGTCTGAGCCTCCCTTTCCACATCACACTTATCACACTCATGGTCCTGCTCATGCATAATTTTTTGTCCCACCAGTACAACATCCACCTCCTGATTCTTTTCCATAATAACTTCACCATCACCATCATGCACATCCACACTCTTCCCTTCATTACCTCCTATATCCAATAACACCTCCTCCTATCTAGTATCCATTCTTGGCACAGGTTCATTCCCATGTTCAGAATCCAAATTCTTCCCAGAGCATGCACCAAGTCCCACATTAGTAAGCGGATCTTGCTCCTGCTGTTCCTCAAGAATGCCAAAACTATTCACAATATCCACATCATTAGCCACATTTTTCTGCTTAAACTCCTTCATCCACCCACTCTTGGGCATTTCCTTAATAACACCCTTTCCTTTCCCCTCTTTTGTAACACCCAACTGCCCTTTGTCAGACACCTTCATATTATTCTGTACTGTATTGCTCTCATTTCCCGCCTGCTGCTTCTTTCAACAACTCAAATTATCATGTCCTTCCTTCAAACAATTTGAACAATACAACACATTCTTCTCAAAGACAATTCTCTGCCATTGACCACTCAAACCACCCATATCTAGCCAAAACCTTTTAGGGTTATCAACTAACGGATTTACCTCTACACAGTCTCTAGCCACTGCAGTTCTGGTCAATTGAAGAGTTGATTTATCAATTACCAGAATACGACCTATAGGTCTCAAAATGTCTCTCAAACTTTCCTAGTTAAACAGATGAATAGGGAGTCTCGGTAAAGATATCCATACAGGGACAACAGGGGGTTCAATTCCAGGAATGAATTCTGGAAACCACTTAAAAAACTTAAAGAGGAAACCCTCAATGTATGTTGCATCTTTTAACCATGTTTTAACATAATCCTCATACAATTCAAAGCGAATCAGAATATGACGAGGATCCAAGATTCCAACAGAGAACTCATCTTTGGGAATCCACCTTGTTACAATAAACTCACGTATCACCCCTAACGCTTCCCATACGCACATTTCCCAATCAATGTCTGTTAAAATTTGGATGACAACTCTTGCGTTTCTTTAGATGTCCAGTACATGCCTGGTTCACCATTATTATAAACCACCCTCGTTGATGGCATAAGAATATTCGTCATCAGAGGCTTCTCAGAATCAGACAAGGGTTTCACAACACCTGGTATAGACACAGAAGAATCTGGACTAGTCGATGAAAAACGAACAGACGAGGGAATTTGGGTTATCAAAGGAATATGAGTAATTGAAGGGATTTCAAGAATCGAAGAAGTATGAGTAATCGAGGGACGTATAGGTGGCATCACAACATTTTCCTCATTACTAGATCGATTCACGGAAAGCAAGAGACCATTATCATTTCCAGGACCCATTAGAGAGTTATCCGAGGATTTTAAGATGTTCGAAGAACTTTTCGATTTCTTGAATAATGAAGCAAAAATCCTTGTAATATAAGTTGTCTTTGGAGGAATTGGACGAAAAGATTGATCAGAATTCATGATTAATCACATAGAAAGCAATCAGACTAATAAAAAATCCAAGAAGAATCAAAGAAATCAAAGAAAAATTCAAAGGAAAATTTTAGAGAGTTGTTAAAGTTTCTCTTTATCGGCCTCCATTGAATATGACCAAATCGTCTTAATGTATTTTCTTTCAACTTATTCCCAATTAAAGCTACTCCTATAATTTCTCTAATATAGTCATTTTGTATTCCATCATTTCTAGTTTTTCTATACATTCACCTTAATATTTTCATTTCCGTTATACTCATTTTATCACTATGTTATTTCCTAGTTGTCTAACATTCCATCCCATACAACATTGATATCCTTATAGCTGTTTAGTAAAACTTGCTTTTCAATTTTATTAATATCCTTCTATCACATAATATGTCAGAGGCTTTCTTCCACTTAAAGGAACCGACGTTGATTATATGAGTTACATTGTCTCCAATCTCTCAATCATTTTTAATGATCGATTCTAGATATCTAAATCGTTTACTCGTTGATATTTTTTTATTTTGATCTTAACTTCTTCACTATATTTACTTCTTCTATTACTAAAATTACATTGCATGTATTCAGTCTTACTTCTACTTATTTTAAACTCTTTTGACTCAAGTGTCTCTCTCCAAATTTTTAGCTTATTGTTAATACTCCTTTGAGTTTCATCGGCCTAAAATCCTTCATTTTCATGGACTTGTCTTTCTTAGGGATCAAGCAAATAAAGTAGAATTAGTAATTGCATTATCAACTCCAATTTGGAAAAAATAAGCATTCATTAAATTTCCCTTTACTATATCCCAACACTTTTGATAAATAGCTAAAGTAAACCCATCTGGACCCAGGGCTTTATCCCTACTATGCTAAAAAATAGCACTTTTCACTTCTTCTTCCTCGAAAGGTTTTTTCAACCATCTAGATTTATACTCATTAATAGGACTTCACTCCAAACCTTTCAATCTTCGTTTAACACCCCCCCACCCCCCCAAACAAAAAAAAAAAAGACCCAAAAGATGAATATAACTAGGCAAAGAATTCCACAACCTTTCTCTCAGTAATCCCCTACTTTTCAATAATCACATTATCTTCTAATTCCAATTTATCAATAGTTTTTAGTCTTTCTCTCCTCAAATTTTCATCTAATCCTAATTCTCTTTAATTTTATCAATTTCTCAAATTCTACTCGCAATTAAACTTTTGATTATTCTTATATCTCCAAAAACTTTTTTATTCCATCTCTTCACTTCTTATTTCACATGCTCCAATTTTTTTAGAAATTTGAAGCTTTCCCACACTTGACTGCATGATGTCCATCCACATGTTTCACCCCTAAAAGGATAAGGACCCCACTTAACAGTAGTAGAATCAAGAATAATGGGACAATGATCCAAAACAACTCTCAAAAGAACCTCCTGTTTTACACTCAAAAAACATACCTTCCACTCCACATAAAATAGAAACCGATCCAATCCATTACAACAAGGGTTTTCCCTAAAATTAGACCAAGTAAAAATCCCATTACACAAGGGAGGATCCTTAAGTGTAGTTTCCCTAACGAAGGAATCAAAGTTAGTCATACTCTTAGTTACCCTTCTTCCATTCAATTTTTTAGAAAGGTATCTAATGACATTGAAGTCTCCCCCTAAACACCAGCGAGGAGTATAAAGACCATACAAACCCGCCAATTCCTCCCTAATCTTACCCTAGGATAATTTGGACCATACCCTCTAGTTAACCACCACTCCATCCATCATTGGACTTAATCCTTACCGAAAGTATAAACTCACCCTCTATTGATTCCTCCCCCTTAACTGTTTGCTCATCCCACATTATCACCATCTGCATTACCATTAGGAGGTAAACATACCAAATTCCTATATCTAGAATTCCGCACACTTTTCACCAATTTTCTCTCGGTCTTTCCCTTTTTCGACTCTTGTAAGGTAACCACATTCCGGTCCTTCTCTTAAAATTAACTCCTTAATTGAACTCCCTTTTTTTTTTCTAGATCCCAAACCCCTCACATTCCAAGTAATAATCTTCATATCAAAATTCCTTCACCTTCCAAGCACCTCCTACTCACAGGTTCACAGCACCCGCACAGTTAACTCCAGATTGTAAATTTTTAAGTTCCTTCATGCTTGTATTTTTCCTAATAGATCTTCCATCACCCTTCTTCTTACCTTTCCTTTTATTGTGGACTAAAGACAAGTCCATTTTCTCTAAGAATTTCTTTAATATTGACCTCTTTTCATAATCAGGTAAGAAAAACCCTCTCCTTTCCATTACTGTCCTCGTCACACTCCCTCCATACTTACAAGATAAAATGAAGTCTCTCTTGGTGATGACAATCCATTGCTTCAGTTGGCAAGGCTATAAAATTCCCAAAAACAAAATTACCAATGGCACCTTCATTCTCAATGCACATCAATGAATTACAAGAACCCTCGTTCAGTTCTCCTAACAATTTTGATTCGGAAAATTTCCCACAACCCATGCGATCCATATAACTTGGAAAAGATGGGCAGCTCCCTTCCTGACCAAATGAGATCATTATAAAAGTTATATCCCTCTCAAAAATTGAACAGGTTTATCGAATAGTTTCTCACCCCACCCAGAAACTGACCCCAACTCTCCTGAATATAGTTTCCAAGCCCTTTTTGAATGCAAGAAAAAACATTAGACTGTTGCACAAGAGAAAGACATACATGCTCATTTGCCTATAGATTAGAACCTCTTGCATGCGCCCCCACATGACCCAATTCTCCGCCTTTATCGAAAAAATCCCCAATATAACAATTTGACTTCGGCCCTTTAGGTTTTCTTTCTGAAGCATAATCTTCATTTCAGGAGTTTTCAGTTGAGCATTCATGTCGTTGAACACTAACATCAGAAAATAAGAAGGATGTCTTGACATCATCAAAGCCATTAGATCCCACGGACGGTCTCAAATTCAGTTCGAACTCAAAGAGCACATCAACGTCTTCCTTCTCTTCTCTATGATAGTAGTTTCTATTTACTAAAGCAGTCTCTTTGATTGGCTCATCCAAGCACTCCAACCCTTGATCTTCATTGTCTTCATCAATAGGAGAGACCACCATCTCCTCTTTCAGAATATCCGAATTTGCACTAGCATTTCTTATAGAATCGTTACTCGGGTCTAATGGTAAATGGGTTTGAATTGGAGCAACCCTGACTTTAAAATGTTCCAATTGTTTTTTGCCTTAAAATAGCTCGCCCTTAATGGGCTTAGAACACTTAAATTAGTAGACAAATTAATTGATCCAAGAGTTACCTCGGCCTTGTTGAGTTTAGAGATAGAAAGCCCAAGTTATTTTTGAAAGCCCACAGGACCACTTTCAGAATCCAATACACTGCTACAACCCATGTCATTAACTACTATAATAACCTTTCCAAACCCATTAACATTCCTGTTTTTTCAAAATTTGAACAAGCCCTTAATAACAGGGGATTAGTATTAACTGCATCCTTAATTACCGCCCCCTATCATTACTGTAAGACCCAATTTTCGATACGTTATTTTGTCCTTCCATCCCAAAATTATGCCTTCCCACATCCGGTGCATTGATTCTCTATAAAACACCTTTATCTTTGACCCTCTTTAAGTAATCCTTACCATGTCATCATCATCTTCTACCTCAAGATTGGAGTACGAAGATTTCATGCTACCATACAATTTCCAATCAGTAGCAGTAATTCCAAGTTTTGAAGTGCCCTAATTCGATCAATTGTCTCTTCCCTTGACATCAACTTTCAATAATGATGGAATCATACCTTTGTCACTCCTATCCACCATAATCTTGGCTTGGAATAGATTTTGTTGAATCAGTGTACTATAAGCCACCTTCATGTATCATCCATACCAATGTCTAATCTTCCTAAATACATCCGCTTTCCACAAATGAAAGGGTAAGCCTTCGATTCCAATCCACCCTCCCAACAAAGACATCCTATCCCTTCCAGTACTCAGCAGTCCATTTAGATAATGTCACCTTGCCAACCTCCTCCATCTTAAGCATATCTTTGCTGCCTACCGCCTCAACATGGTTCTCATCTTTACAAAATAATCCTGCCTTATCAACCAGGAAAGGACTCAGAACAACATGAAACTTTAGTGCTTTTATCAAAGCATGTTGAATCCACCTTCAAGGAATGAAAAGACTCTTTGATACATAAGTCGTCTCTTTTCCATTTGCCAAAAACAGAGTATGTCTCGACACTCTATCTTGATTGAGAGGAACAAGATTTTGTAAACAAGCATCTCCACCACTACCTATATTTTGTTGTACCCTTCCATTATATCATCTGAAGGTTCCCTTCTAATAATATTAATCAAAAGAAAAGAAGAGAGAAGAGAGAAACGGAGGAAATATATATCAACCACAATAATCTGTCAGAACGTTAACTAAGATACACAATAGAAGCCCTTTTATATAATAGGGCCATCTTTCCTCAAACTCATGATGTGACAGTAGATAACATCAAGAATTTGCTAGGAAGAAAGTGAGAACGCGCAATGGTATGAGATTTGGTAAAGAAATTCGCTAACTGCAGAGTTGAAGGCAGAAAATGAAGAGAGATGGTGCCTAACTAAACATAATGGCACACAAAGTAACAATTAATCTCAATACTTTGTGTGCTCTTGAAAGACTGAGTTATGAGCATTTGAATAGCACTGGTATTGTCACAATACATAGAAGTCGGTATAGATAATATGATACCCGACTGAAGATGACACACAAAATGACAATCAATCTTAATATTTTTTGTGTGCTCATAAAAGATTGAGTTATGAGCAATCTGAATAGCAGTGGTGTTGTCACAATAGATAGGAGTTGATGCATATAACATGATGCCAAGATCAGAAAGGAGCCATCATAACCAAGTTATCTCAGTTGCAATAGATGCCATAACACGATATTCAGCTTTAGTAGATGAACAAGAAACAACAACTTACTTCTTGTTGTTCTAAGAAATAAGAAAATAACAAAGAAAAAGTTAGAAGTCAGTGGTGGACAATAAAGTCACCAACCTAGTTAGCATCAAAAGAAGCTATGAGTTCCATGGAAGAGGAGGAAGAAATTAATAAACCCTGATGCAGAGTACCTCAAAGATACCGAAAAATACGAAGAAGAGCAGTTCAGTGAATAGTGGTGGTTGAGACAAAAAATTGACTAACAACATAGGAGATATTCGGATGAGTGACGGTAAGATACACTAAACTTCCAATAATAGCGCGATAAAGTGTAGTATCAGACAAGGGAGTACCATGAGAAGAAGAGTAACGAACATTGAGCTGTAAAGTATTTCAACTGTCCAATTTTTTAATAAACATATTCGTTGAATAACATCTGAGGCATACTTGGACTGATAGAACATATAGTCCTTAGGAGGAAACAATCTCAAAGCCCAAGAAATACCTAAACTATCCTAAATTCTTTATTTTAAAATGGTCATGCAACTGAGTTTTCAATAAGGATATACCAGTAGTATCATCACATGTAATAATCATATCATCAATATATACTAAGAAAATAATAGATTTTGAAGAAGTAGGTTGTAAAAAAGAAAAGTAGGAGTCATGGTCACTAGTGCGAAAACTCAAGTCACATATAACCGAAGAAAATTTGGTAAACAATACCCTGAGAGCCTATTTAAGGTCATATAAAGCTTGGTGATGTCTACATACCTAGCTAGGGTTATGAGACAATCCAGGAGGAGGAGTTATAAAACCTTTTCACTTAAATCTCCATGAAGAAATATATTGTTCACATCCATCCGAGACAAACTCCATTGGTGAATGGTAGCAATTGCAATTACGGTGCAAACAACGGTTATCTTTGCAATAGGGGCGAAAGTCTCATCATAGTTTAGATTATACTCCTGAGCAAAACCCTTAGCTATTAATCGAGCTTTATACCTAGGGGTGTCCATGGGTTGGGTTGGCCCATAGGTCCCGCTATCCAACTCGAAAAATAGGCTCAAAGCTCAATAAGCCCGATAATTGGCTCACCCGAGCCTAAGCCCAATATCCTTCAAGAGAGGGTTTCGGCTTGCACTCATACCCATTTTTCGGCCCAAAACCCGTCCCATGAGCTCGCTCGCAAAAACCCGGCCCAAAAGCTTGCCTCCCCTTCTACCTAATTGTTTGGAAAAAAGATGACTATTGAAACTTTGAAAGTTTGGTGAAAATATATGCTTTAAAAAAAAAAGTTCAATTCAAAAAAAAAAAAAAAGGTTAGGTTCCTCTCATATTCATAAATAAAATTATTCATTATTTACTTTTTGTCTATTTTGACTATACTTTTAATTTAAAAATATAATTTACAAAAATATTAAGTTTAAATTTTTTTAAATGAATTTTATAAAACCCTGCTTAGCAGGTCTGCCTAATAGGTCCGTCCAGTGAGTGGCGAGTTGGACAGCAGATAGCCTATCCCTACCCAAAGTTCAGCCCAATAAGTCACCTAGTAAGGGCTTAGGCTTGCCCGGCTCGACCTATGAACATCCCTATTTATGTCGTTCCACAGAACCATCATACTTAGTTTTTATCTTATAAACTCACCTATAACTAATGGTGCGTTTATCGAGTGGTGAAGGCACTAGCTCCCAAACTTTGGTCTTATGTAAGGTAGACAACTTCTTATCCATAGCTTATTTTCAAACTGGATCAAGTGAAGTCTCCTCGTAAGAAGTGGGTTCAGAGGGAGAGTAAATAAAAGTAAAGAAAGAAAAAAAGTCAAGAGAGTAGCAATTGTTGCTCCAACCAAACTTGTTTGGATATTTGCGAGAGCGTTAAGGATAGTGTGGGGTATGATCCATAGTGTTTGAACCTTATTGGGTGGTAGGAGGAGAGAGGGGAGGCATCACATCTGTAGACGAGATAACTAGAGTTCTACGAACAAATGTATGCACAATAGGGGGACGAGGAACAATCAACTCAGAAAGGGAAGGATCAGATATAGTTAAATCAACAAATGTGTCATGAGGAACATCACCAGGAAAGGGATCAATATATAACAAGTCAAACTTATTCAGTGCGAAAGAACTAGATAGAATTGAAAAGAAGGGAATATGCTCCATAAAGACAACATGGCAGGAGACAGTTTGTGGGTAATAGGATAATAGCAATGATTTCTTTTTTGACCCTAACCATAACCATGAAAGATACATAACGTTAAGTGAGTACAAAGTTTTGTACGGAGAACACTAGTGAGCAAAACAAAGTAAGTACAACCAATACAGTTTGATTAGGAAATGAAAGAAGATCCTTTCCATAAACAGTCTTAAGACGAACCTCTTCAGCTAAAAACACATTAACTACTACATCTGCATCAATTAATGGTAATGGATGATGATGGACAATTGAACCACGAAGTCCTTCAAAGTCATCTCTGAGTGCCATTAAGAATTGTATCAACATCTGCTCCTTCCTAAAAGTGCGGTATGCCTTATTAGTACTCAGTTTAGTGGGTTCAGTAAGTGTCAACTGATCGCAATAGCCAGTCATAACTGAGTATAATTCCTGTATGGGTTTATCACTTTGATGTATAGCTCTAATTTCAAGGTCAAGTTGATATCTTTTCGCAAAATTTGATTGTACGGACAATGTGACTGAATAATCCCAAATTTTTTGGCAATAGTAAACTTAGCCAAATGAACACAAATAGTTTAATCTATAGAGTTGTTAATCCAAGTAATAATCTTGGCATTATTGACATCCAACTGGTTCTTCAAATCAACATAATTTTCTGCCTTGGTATCTGTTGGAGCTGTTACCACACCATCAACATAACTCTACATCTCTTTACCAAGCAATTTTTTTTTCATTACATAGGTGATGTAGATCGTAGTAGGGAAGAATTAGAGATGAGAAGGGATAAGGAAAGAGAGAATTTGCAGAAGAAGCAATATCAGGATTCAATATCAGTAATTAATAATAATCAAAGTCTTCTAAATAAAATACTTACATGCATCCCATTATATAGGAAAATTAAAATCCTAAAACAAATAAATAATGACAAATAAACCCACAAAAGTTAAAAGAAATTACTTAAAAGATAATTATTAAAAGTATTCAAATTACTCTTATGATTAATCTAAAATATCTAATTCCTATATGATCCCTATCATTCTCTCCCGATTGAGAAAAATTCTCTTTTGGAGAGTCTTCAAAGCAAAAGTATCCTAAGAGAGCAATATGAAGATGACATAATGCCCTATCTAAAATAAAAAAATCAACTTCTTTCTATTGATCAGGATAAATGCAAGAATCTCCAACTGTATGAGCACCTGCTAATAAAATAGAAGGCACTGGAGTACCTCGATTAAGTAGCATGTCCTCCAAATAAAAATCTAGACTAATATTAATATTCAATAAAAAATTAAGCAAATAAACATTAGATTCAAACTCAAGAATAAGAAAACAATTTCTATCAGATTTGAACAACAAGTATTCAGTGGGACAAGATTTTAATGATAAAGGAGTAACAATAATGCTTTGGTGCTGAAAATAATTAAGTACAAACTCAAGTGAACACTTGGCAGTACGAAGAGGAACAAAGTCAACAATCTTAAATTGAAAAAAATCCGTAACAAAGTCATGATGACTTGGACAAGTAAACACTGAATAGTCACTAGTAGATGCTGCAACAAATGACTCGATTGGTTTAATATCTTGCATAGGTGTAAACTCAACAGACTTTTTCACAATTTTCAAGACCAATAATGGTTCAAGAATTGACACAAGCAAAGACTCACACTTTCTTTCAATATGAACTCTTGTGGGTGCAAAGGAGGAGGACTTTGATATGATGAAATTGAATGAGAGAGTTGGAAGTCAATATGAGTGACATTTTTCTCTTTATCCGATACTGGCATATCTAAATCCTTTGTCACATTCGGATTAGAAAAGCATGCAGAAACAACATGAATGTCATTAAAGTAATCATGATACTCATATGTGGTGAAATTAAAATTGGAAGGTATCCTGTCAGTTTGTTTAGCAGATTGTGATTGAATAACCATCAAGCTGTAGTTGGATTTTTTATGAAATCTCTCAACCTTTAGGGCATATTGATAGGCTGCTAGTAACGTATTAAAAGTATTTTGCTTGACCTCCCTCCTAAATTTTTGTGTTAACTCAAGAATAAACTGATCAATTTCTAAGGTTCTTCAACAATGTCACACAAGTACATGAGATAATCGAATTGGACAAAGTAATTAGAGACACTAGAAGAATGTTGTCTAAGATTAAGCCATTGGTCATAAACTTGATCTATGTACGTACGAAGTAGGCAAATGCGTCTCTTTCAATTTATATCTCATTTCAACCCAAGTGATAGATGATTCTCCTAAGGGGTCTAGACTTCTTTGGATTGTTTGCCAATATTGCTTGACGGAACCTTCCAACATCAATTTGGCAAATCAGACGCAATGAGAATCTGACATGCCATGCCAATTAAAATATTCTTTTAAATTAGCTAACCAATCCAAGAATTCAAAAAGATTTAAAGTGCCACTGAATATAGAAAGATCTTTAACTAGTGTGATCATATGGATTGACTCCATGTAAACATCCCTAAACTTCGTATGATGATGACCTTTACGAGAGACTCTTGAAACATGTGCATTAGAGGAAGTCATGAGTGACTCTTGAAAGATGAGAATGGTCTAACAACAAATTCAAGAATGCAATTGACAATTTCAAAAAAGTTTAAATAGAAGAAAATATGTTTTGAATCTTTTGCAAATTCTCTAATTTTTTAATGAATAAAAATATTAGTCTCAAATTCTATGGGAGTATGCATATCATAATCAAGAGGAAATTCTGAAATTTTTTGGGGATGATTTATAATTTTATAGATCTGTTGGGGATGTTTTTGCAATTTTGGAACTTTTGGTGGTGGTTTTGCAACTTCTAAAACTTTCTGGAGTATTTCTGGAATAGCTGGGATGTTGCTGCAATTTTCAAGACGGTAGGAATAGTTATGTTTTTTTTTTCCTGCTAGTTTTGTATTTTTTTCCACTCGTTATGGCGATGAACAATATTTTTTTTTTAACGAATTAAAGTTGAGATCAGATACCAAATTAATGTAGATCGTAGTTGGGAAGAATTAAGGATGAGAAGGGAAGAAGGGGATGAGAAAAGAAGAAGGAGATGATAAAAGAAGAAGGGGATGAGAAAAGAAAGAAAATTTGAGGAAGAAGCAATATCAAGATTCAATATTAGTAATCAATAATAATCAAAGCCTTATAAATAAAACCCTTACATGCATCCTTTTATACAGGAAAATTAAAATCCTAAAACAAATAAATAATGACAAATAAACTTTCAAAAGTTAAAAGAAATTACTTAAAAGATATATATTAAAAGTATCCAAATTACTCTCATGATTAATCTAAAATATCTATTTAATTCCTATACGATCCCCATCAATAGGTCCAAAAAATTTTACACTGATGGCTTGAAGAGAATCTAAACTTCCACTCGCCATGGCCAAATCACACAAAATCAAAATCAAAATCAAAACCGAGACTATTTGATTAACCAATATCTAATCAATTAAATAAAATAAGCAATTCTCCAACCAAACAAATCGAATGGCACAATTGAATAAACCAAAATATAAGGCAGGCTAATTAATTAAATCATAAACTAATGAGCAACAAGAAGTAAACTTAAGACACATCAGCAAACCGAGCAAACTTGAACAGGTAACCACCAATCCAGATTTGAGAATCACCAAACGGGAAGAAGAAACCTTTGTGCTGGGAGGAAACGAGTAGAAGAACAGAACAGACCGAAGAATCCTAAAGCTTGTGTTCAGCAAGGAGGACCGGAGGCAGATTTGGGAACCAAAACACTTCATTAAGCTTCGGATCTCTGTACCAAGCACCCACAGACCCTAAATCGCACTTTGTGGAAGAGATTCGAACTAGAAAACTCAAGGAAATCTAGTTGTAGTTCCAAATCGCCAGAATTGTAAGAATATTCGCAAAAATCTTCAAAAAATCAGAAGTCTAACAATCTGAACTCAAAATAGAAAACAAGTGGTATGATGATGTTATCCACAAAAAATCGAGTAGATGGGTGTCTCCGGTGGCTTCTCGTTGCCGACGTCAACATTTTGGTTGATAACATCAGCCCTAAATACATTCAATACTCTTTTTGTGTTTAGAATCGTAATTGTTCTGATACCTTAATAATATTAATCAAAAACAGAGAAGAGAGAAGAGAGAAAATGAGAAAATATATATCAGCCGCAATAATTTGTTAGAACGTTAGACAACATACACAATGGAAGCCCTTTTATATAGTAGGGCTACATAAACTAAAGAGAATGATTAAACTAACCCTAATAATAAGCTAAACTCTCTAACACCTTCTACTTTCAAACTTAATACCATGCCTCAAAATACCATCCAACAATTTCAAAAACAACTCCAACCACTACTATCAACAACTTGAGGTATCACTAAGAAAACTCTCTTTCATGAATTAAAAACCTTAGAGATAGTCAAAAACCTTCCATTCCTATTGGAATTCGATTCAACCCACAACAGGTAGGAATTACTCTTGAACTTTCTAGAAAAAGATGTAGGACCATTCCAATTAATGGATCGAGCGATCGATTATCGCCTATGCGATTGGGAAGCGTTCGACACAAACAATTTTCCTCGCTAGTTTCTACAACTCGCGCCTAATAAAATTTATAGAAATCAAATTCCCTCTACCATTCCCATCAATTAAACCAATCTATTGTAATGTAAGAATATATATTCCATGGCCGGGTGATTTGTGGACACAACATTTTAGTGACTTTAAAAAAAAAAATTTGGGGAAATGATTCCATTTTCATGTCCACCTTTTTTTTGGACATGCAGGCCAATGATGTATTTTGTTTGAACATATGTACATGCAAGATGCAACACATGCATAATCAGGTTAAACAAGTTGATTAAGTGTCTTTATGGTCTGAAATGGATGATTACTGATAATTACTAATTAAAATCTGATGTTAAATTGGTCGAATAGTAAGTATGCTAATCACAGGGTAATACTTGGCATACAAGTAGTTTTTTGGAATAGATGTTAATTTGACGTTTTATCTTTAGCTTTTGAAGGATTTACATTTGGCGTGTCTCTGTCATCTCATATCCATTTTATTTCTTCATAGCTGAGGACCAATATTTTTGTGACCTTTTGTTTTCTTCAATGAGCTCTAAGTAGCTGTTGGTTGATGGTGGTGTTTGGTACATGTTGATTGTAGGTCCTGGAAAGGAAAGATGCAGCTGGGGAAAGGATGACAGTGGACCACCTTGCTATGGTATTTTCTATATCCTCCTTTAAGATCATATTTTTGAAACCCTGTCCAAATGGATGCAGCCATTCATAGACCATGGTAATCCATTAATGTATTCTTTTCCTATCTTTTTATGCCTGTTTGCACACGTATGATTGTCGCTACACATGTACTGCCTGCCAAGAAAGCTGGGAGATTATATGGTTGTTATCACCCCACTAGTAACTGTTTTAGCTGTGGAAACATTTGTAATTTTTTGTTTTCATTATGCTTAATTGTCTTTTGGGTTTATCTGTTTGAAGTATGGCATTCATTGATTCTCACTTTATACACTTGACCTGCAGATCTGCACCTTGGCTGTCAAGGAGTCTTTAGCCAATGTAAGCCCTATCTAACCTGCTGACTGATCAATTGACTATGTTGTCGAATTAGCTTTCTTCATGTAGTTCTTGTCAACATCAAACATATTCAGATGCCAAATCCGGAATATATGTTTTTTTTTTATTGCTTTGTGTGGATCCAGGTATTTGGGGACAAGTTTGATTGTTTTGCGAGGAACTTTGAGAAATCATTTCGGAGCACCTTGATGACTCTTAGATTAATCCATGAGACTTCTCAAAACAATGGAGAAGAAAACCATAAACATTTACAGGAAGAAAGTCATTTTTCAACATCTATGCAACCAGTGTCTTCCAGCATAGAAGGAGACCTTAGTTGCAATTCCAATGTAAAAGATTGCGAGTCCGAAGCGGTGCCTCGCTATATCATGAGTCATGAACGGCTGAGCAGTCTTGAAGGGACAGAAGCGCACATGCAGGCCAATCCAATAAACCTGCAGCTTGCCCTGCATGATGGACACCTAAACCAACAGTTGGCTTGTGTTCCTTCAAGCACAGTGCATTCTGTTATTAACCAAACCATGCTCTCAACTTATGAAAAATCTATCATGGAGCAAGCTCGTACTAATGATCTCAAGACAATTGAGATTGGTCTTACCATTAAAAAGTTGCGATTGAAAGAAACACAGCTGGCTTTGGACTCTGATCTCAATTTTTTGGAGAGGTGCAAATTATCAATGGGTATTTCTAAGGTGTCCTTTAAAGCCGACAAATTCAGAAATGAATTAGAAGTCACTAGGCATGCTGAGCTGCTTAAAACGTGTATCGACAGTCTTGTTGCTGGGATGCTTATAATGTTGGCCTGCCTTGGATATGGGGTTTATGTTTATTCTCACAAACGGATTACTGAAGCTACTGCATCCTGTATACCTAGCAAGGTAAGTGCCACCTTCATTCTGGATTTGATTGATCTATTATGTCTAAAGTCATACTGTAGCCTATGGTTTGATTTTTTTAAGAAATTATGGTCTATCTCCTTACCTATTTGTGTTGATTATCTCCTGAAAAGTGTTTATTGAATAAATATGCAACTTAATTGTTACCTTTAAAAAGAAAAATTTCAAAAGTCCCTTGTCTTTGTAGACTGCAAGTTTATGTTCTATTTTGGTTTAGCATTCTCTACAGGACAATACAGACTACCCCGTTAGACCATTAAAGTATGCAGAGGTTGTATTTCTTCATAAATTCGGGTAGAATATTGTTGAGAAAGGAGGGTTGGAGGAATATTATGCCTAGGTGATGTCTATCTTAGACCTGGAGATTGGTATGTTATCGAACTTTTAATGCAGGATCTAACTTTTTTAGGCAGAAATTTATCTGATGATTTCAATGTCATGCAAGATCCAAAACGATGATGAATCTTGATTAAATGAACTAGGGGGAAAGGCTTTTCTTCCTTTTTCCAGAAAAATCTGAAAAATTGATACCATTGTACGTGTATTTGATTGTTTGTTATTAGTTGTTTGAGATTTGGGGAAAAGGACCGATTTTCCCCTTCAGTTTCTTGTTGCCAAAAGTTGTTTTATTGATTGTTGCTGCTGCTAGTGTCATTTGCCATTGATTTTGTATGATTTGCTGAGACTCTTGCAAAGCTTGCTCTTTTTCTGTTCTTGTTGTATGTGTTTGTGCATGTGAGGATGTTGATGTGTAGGTCTGTAGTTGCTTAAAATGTCTTATGATGATTTGTTTCACTTGCAGGAGTCCCAGTCTTGGTGGATGCCAAAGCCAATGTCATCTTTTAATTCGGGTCTGCAGATTTTAAGGTGTCAGGTTCAAGCTGTGAGTCGTATGTTGTTTGGTGTGTTCATGATCCTGGCTATCAGTTACCTGCTTCTCCGGCGGTCTGCAACTTCAACACAGATGATGCCAGTTACGTTAATTCTGTTGCTATTAGGAATTGCATGTGGCTTTGCGGGAAAACTCTGCATCGACACATTGGGGGGCAGTGGATACCACTGGCTCTTTTATTGGGAAGCTTTATGTTTATTGCATTTCTTTTCAAATATGTGTACCTCAGCATTGTTTCTTGTTCTCCATGGACCCATCAATGTGTCTGAAAGGGCAAAAGGCAGTGCAGTATTTCCATACTGGCTTAGGCGGGTCATGTTCTACACCACTCTTCTTCTGTTTCTGCCTTTATTATGCGGTTTCATGCCTTTTGCAAGCCCAGGAGAATGGAAAAATCACTTCTCTTTGCTTGTCATGGATCTCCTGCCAATCACAGTTGATTGATACTGGACGTTGGAATGCTGGGAGGGACCTTCACTGCACTGTGGATCAAGTGATGGTTATAATATCGACTACTATGTTGTGTATTATGGTGTGTAATTTATGTTAAGCTATCTGATTTGTTGGGCAGATACAAGTGTGCCGGCTATTGCTCGGGTCAAATGTATTTATATTATCAATCTGTTTCCATTTCTTCATTTGCTTCCAGTGGAGCTTATAAATTTTCAGTTAGCGCCCAAGTCATAATCTATTTTGTAACATTATCTTGTACACCAAGACGAAAGTCAGTTGTCGTAGGTTATAAGTAACATATTTTGTACTTCCTATAATGTGAGAGTGTTTATGACTTGTGTTGAGAAGTTTTTGACTCATGTCATTTGTTCGGTAATGCGTCATGGGTAATGATTTTTTGATATTGCGTTGTGATTTACTGATTGCGAAAAAAATTGTGTTTGGAAATTCTGTTTCTCTGGGCAGTAGCTTATTTGTAGCGTAGCATTAGCCCATAGAATGCAAGTGTTGTTATTAGCAAGTGTTGACCGCAAATGAACAAATTTGGAGCAGCTTTTTTAACGCAAAGTAAAAGTTTTGTGTCTAAGCTGCTCAAACTTCGATGTCGTGGAAATAAGGGAGAAGTTCGGAGGTAATGATCAACTATTCATGCGATTCTGGGTTGAAGTATTAGCTCAATTCCCACTACGAAGGGATGCTTCTACCACAGAAGGACGAGAGGAATTGCTAGTGTTTGAAGGTGGTTACGGAAAGAGGGTGCTCGAAAAGAAAGTCTATGGCTTTTGGATGAGTGCAACTACTGGAAAATCCATGTTAATCCAGATTTATCGCCCTAACAGAGACTCTCTGATCAACCTCTCGCAGAACGATGAAAATCCGGGAGAATTTATGATGTGAGATTAATCGTGACAATATGGTGGTGGGGGCTGAATGTGGACATTTGGTAATGCCAAAAGTGCGGCAACCGAAGTTGGGGTGTGATGGAGAATTCTGAGCAACTTCCCATATCAGATGCTGAAACCAATGGGATGAATATCTACGATTTAGGAGGTGATGATGCTATAAGAAATTTGAATGTAGAGAGGCGGGAAAAAAAACCTAATGGGACAAGTGATATTTTGGGCCAGGCCCAATCCTCTATGCTAACCGATGAATCCAACTTTGGTGGAGGTGGATCTTATAACTGAAAAGACCCAACGCCTTGCCTAAAATGAGATGCGTTCCCTGTTGAATGCAAAATCCTATGTAACAAGAACCGGTCCAAAAAAAGCCACACTAGGGGCGCACAAACCTTCTCCTCCTATTCTGGAACCCTCCCAAAGCACCCAACCAACTCCAAATCCAAAAAAGTGAAGGAATGCTAAAACCAAAGTTGTTTGATTGAGAAAGCTACAAAAAAGGGGAAGTTATCTGATGGATACTCACATACCAACATACTAACAGAGGAGACGGATCTTCAGTCCCGCCGGCAGCCATGATAGGTTTAATTTGGAATTGCCAAGGGCTTGGGAACCCTTGGACAGTTTGTGTTCTTCACGATTTGGTGAAAAAGGGAAGCTCCCACCTTGATCTTCTTAATGGAGACAAGGTTACAATCAGTGGAATTTGAGAACATTCAACACAATGGACTTACTCAGGGCTTGATTGTTGATGCTAGAAGCGGATCTGGAGGCTTGGCTTTATGATGGAGACGAGGTATGAAGGTTAGTATAACAAGTTTTTTAGAATTTCATATTGAGGCAATTCTACATGAAGGAAGCGAATCATAATGGAGATTCGTGGGGTTTTATGGTCACCCTAATACTACTATGAGGAAAAGATTTTTGGTGTTACCATCCAGGTTGCATACACGGTTTGATATGTAGTTGATCTGGGATTTCATGGTGAACCTTTCACTTGGTGCAAAGGAAGTATTCACCCGTTCACTATAAGGGAGAGGTTGGACAGAGTGTGGGGATCCATTTCATGGGCTTCTCGATTTTCAAATAGTAGAGTTATTCATGTACCCACCACGGATTCAGACCACTACCAATTGCTTCTTCATGTGGAAAGTGTAGTAATTTCAACCCCCAACAAAGTTAGGAAGAAGCGTTTCAAATTCGGGTCCATGTGGACTAAGGACCAAGAGTGCAAGGAGGCGATTGGAAAGGGTTGGAGAATTCTGACTTCTGGATCGCGGGAGCATCAATTTATGAACAAAAACAGTAAATTGAAGGGACTAGCAGTTGGACGTGGTGGCTCAACTATTGCTCATTTATTTTTTGGGGATGATAGCTTTTTGTTCGCACAGGTTTCAACATAAAATGGTAGAGCCATAAAGGATTGTCTTTGAAGTGTTCCACAGTTAGAGAGAAACACAAAGAAGACAGAGAGAAGAAAATGCAGATGTCATTTGTCATTGTAAATCCCTTCATCCATTTACAAGTGAATGCCGTCAGTATTTATATGAAGACATTGATGGTACAACTGGATTCTAACAGAATGCCAACATGGCAAATAGTTAGTGAGGCAATTTTAGTTATAACATCCTAATTAGTTAGATTAGTTGCTTTAGTTATCATTGCCCCTCAAACTAATGGGTGGTGATTCAACCAGAAGTTTGTCTCGCAATTGAAGAAATCTAGAAAAAACAAGGCCCTTGGTAAAAACATCAGCAAGCTTATCAGTAGAAAAAATATAATGAACCACTAGATCTTTGCTTTGAACCTTCTCTCTGATAAAATGAAAGTTAATATCTATGTGCTTCATATGACCATGAAATACTGGATTTGATGCTAAGGTCAGAGTGAAAACATTATCACATCAGAGAGCGGGGGCATGATGCAACAACACTTGAAGATCCTTGAGTAATAGTTGAGGCTAAGTAAGTTCTGCAGTGGTATGTGCTATGACCCCGAATTTTGCTTTTGTGGAGGACCTAGACACAGTAGTTTGTTTCTTAGTGTCCCAGTGAATGGGATTATTACCCAAAGCAAGAATAAACCCAATAGTAGATCTTCTGTCATTAGGATTCCCTGCGCAGTTTGCATCACTGAAAGTAGAAAGATTCAAACTACCCTTTTTATAAGAAATACCAAATGCAGAAGTATCTTTGAGATATCTTGAGATCCTTTTAACAGTAGCAAAGTGAATATCTATGGGAGCTTGCATATGTTAACAAACCTAATTTACTAAAAAATTGATACAGTAAATGTTAGGTACTGAAGGGAACCAACAACACTTTTGTAAAAGGATGAATCTGCAAAAGGTGTGCGAGCAGTCTTATTCAGTCTGGATGAGGCTACACAAGGAGTTTTACAAGGTTTGCAATCAGACATTTTGGTTTTCTGAAGAAGATCAGCAATGTATTTTTCCTGACTGAGAAACTGACCACTGGAAGTATATTGAATTTGAAGACCAAGAGAGAAATGAAGTGCTTGTAAATCTTTCATTTCAAATTGAAGGTTCAGTTGTTGCTTCAAAGTGACAATGAATTAAGGATCATTTCTTGTAAGAATTATATCACCAACATACAAGAGGAGAACAGTGAGAGAACCATTGACCTTTCTAAGAAACAAAGAAGGATCTAAAGAAGAAGAAACAAAACCATATGTGAACTTTTAAAACCAGGCCCTAGAGGCCTGCTTCAAACCACAGATAGATTTATGTAACCGACACACATGTTTAGGATACTGTGGATCAATAAAACCAGGAGGTTGGGACATGTGAATAGACTCAATAATTGTGCCATGTAAAAAGACATTTTTGATATCCAATTGATGCAACTTTCAATTAAATTGGGTGGTCAAAGCAAGAATGAGTTTGACAGTGGCATGTTTCACCACATGACTAAAGGTTTCAAAAAAATCAATCCCTTTCTCTTGATGAAATTCCTTTGCCAACAAACGAGCTTTATATCTAGAGATAGAACCATTTGAATTCTATTTGATTCTATAAACCCACTTGCAGCCAATAACATTATGAGTGGGAGAAGGTGGAACAAAAGATCAAGTATCTTGATTCTGTAATGCAGTAAACTCTTCTGCCATAGCTTTCCTCTATTCAAGGGATTTAGAAGCAGTTGCATAAGAGGTGGGTTTTGTGTGAGATCCCGTGTTTCATTTAAATATAAATTATATTAACATGTTAATATTTTCAAATAATTAAAATGATGAGAGAAACTTCGAATCGTTGTTAAACAAATAGTCACGTAAATTTGAAGTACGAAAGTATTGACTTTTGGGTCAAATTTAATTTTTGGAGGTGTTTAAGGTTGATAAGGATAACTATACAAATATATTAATTTTTTTAAGTCAAAATAATATTACCATTGAATCCGGGAGATCCGAAAAATTTGGAATAACCATTTAGCACATATAGCTGTTTGGAGGGATAAAATAGTAATTTTAATATTTCGAGTGTAAGTTTATTTTAATTTTGAGATAAATCATAAAATTAAATATTTTTAGGTTAAAATAACATTAAAAATGAATCCGAAACATCAAAAAACCTTAGGTAGTCATATGGATTAAATTGGAGATTTTTAGTGGCAAAACCATAATTTTAAAGAAAACTCAAATTTTAGCCCATGAACAGTAAATTTCAGGACTGCTAGGTGTAAAACCCAGATTTTGGCCCCTTTTCTTCCATTCTTTCATTTTACTCTCACCCAATACCTCTTAGAACCCTACGAGAAGATAAAGAAAAAGAGAAAAGGGAAGAAAAATGTCTCTAAAACTTGAGTTTTGCTTGAAAATCCTAGGAACTTGCTTGAAATTCTTAATTTTTAGGTGAGATTTTTCTCTCTCTTGTATTTACATTGTGCATCTCATGTAGTTTTTTAGCTAAAGCTTACTATGTGTTTGATGACAAAATACTTGTTATAAATCTTGATTTAGTGTTGAGTATGCCATGAATTGTAAACTCACATGCATAAAAATGATTTGTGCTATGGATTTGAAACCCTTGTTTGATTTTAGTTATGGATATTTAATTAAACTTATGATTTGGGAGGTTTGAAAGTATATTATGATCTTGTACATAATTTGACTTATCTCTTGGAAATAGAAATGATTTTAGTGTTATGGGTTTGAAACCCTTGTTTGATTTTAGTTATGAGCATTTGATTAAACTTATGATTTGGGGATTTTGAAGTATGTTATAATCTTGTACATAATATGACTTATTCTCTTGGAAATGAAAATGCCATAGTTTGATTTTAGTTATGAGTATTTGATTAAACTTAAGATTTGGGAGTTTTGAAGTATGCTATTATTTTGTACATAATATTTATGACTTATTCTCTTGAAAATGGTTATATTGTTTTGAAAATGTAATTTTTGAGATTTGAGCCTTCTACATGTTTGATAAAATGTCAAAGTTATGACATGTGTTTTTAAAAGGATTTATGGATATAGAAAATAATAATTTGTGAAAAATATATGCTCGATACTGACAGACAAAGA